TCACTATCATTTTGTCAGTTCTCTCAAATGCGGCGCATTTTGCATTTAAATTGAATCAGACGATAAAGTCATTGCTGCTGAGCTCCATCTCCAATGTAAAGAACGTAATAGTCATCCTGGGCCATTGGTTGTTGCATGGTTATGGTGTGATAGCGGTCGCGACTCTTCGTGGAATCAGCATCCATCCCGGAATGTTGGTCCTAGTTGTGCTACCGGCTTTGTTTTACATCATAACGGCACGATTTACTGATCCACATAAGCTGCACATCGAATAAACCCTTTTTTAATCAATTCTTGTATATACTAAATCGCGCATATCGAGGTTAATGTATTTAAACTATTTATTATACAACAAAAGATTTTATGCACGCGTGTTTATGTGTGTAAAATTCTTTTTTTAATAAAGAGATCTTCTGTTAATAATTGTAAAATCAGATTCAGATCAAGCTAACGAGTACGAAAAGTCACAATTAAATATTAGTAAACATCAATAATGAAATTTTATTTAATAATTTATAAACAAAAATTATTTTACATGCAAAATATATAATTTATCTAAAATAAAAGTTCTTAAAAATTAATAAAAGTGTGCGTTTTTGTTCATTAATATTCGTTTGGGATCATTTGCTTGGTCTATAGTCCAGTTTAGTATTAATAACATGATCTAAGGAAAAATTGATATAATTAACAATTCTTTATATTTGATGTTTGCTATATATGTATTTATTTCATCAAAGTATAGTACATAATATCAAGATTTCATTCGTTTTATTATAGTTGCACACAAATCATTTTCATGTTATATTCTTTTTCCGATTATATATGTTGAAGCAAAAACGCTATCGTATATAGCCGACCGTTTTTGCATTTTAAATACTCATTTTATCGATTATTCCTTTGGCACAAATGTTAAGACCAATGTGCTCTTGGGTGATATGGGCACTTTATTTGAATTTAACTTTGTCCTGCAAAAGTGATAAAGTTTCCAATATTAGATAAAATCATTAAAAATATATGGAATTTTACAAAAGTTCACAAAAATTCTTACCTCACGATTTCTGTATCTCGACTGTAGTTGGGACTATACGCAACTACATTGATTTCATTCGATACTCGCGGTATTCCAGACAGATCTACAATCGCCGACTCGTCTCCTGTCTGGTACGCCACCAGATATCCGGGATTACCGCTTCTTAGTCTACAAAAAAAATTTATTTAAGTTTTGTTCTTTATTTAATAGTGTATATAACATATTGCAAAGCATATGTATACAAGATACAAAGTAAATCTATTATATTATTTTCTCTTGTATGCAGTTAAATTCTTACAATGCGAAGCATGATTGCAGTATGTTAGTGGCACATGCACACTTACCCACTTCTGTGTTGTATATAATGAAGCATGGAAAAAAATTAATTAATCTTTGGTTAGTCTACTACGCTACATAATATGCAACACATTTCAGTTATCGTATATTTTCAGGACTATTTAATTCAGAAAAATGCTCACAAGTTTTATTCATCTGATATGAAGCCATATTTATATATGTTAAGACAAGATGTAACAAAAGCACCGTGAGAATATGGGCCAAGATATGAAAGATTAATTCAATATCAATTCAGTTGTGTACAAGAATGCATTTAGAGTGTGTGCATAAGAATTCAATTATCCAATTAAATCTGACTTCATTCATGTATTGTAAGTATGCATTCATTCATAATCTTTCTTGTGTATAAATTAGAGATATTTCAATAGATAGATTAATAATAGGAGTGTTTAAAAGATTAGTTTTTTTAAATCTACTTGGCACAAGTCAGCAATTCATATTTTAATAACGTGCGATCAATCGCTCTGTTTTTTTTTTTTAAATGGTTAGCGTATGAATATCTGATTTCACTTTTGTTAAATTGTATGTGTATATTCAAATTAATGATTATTGTGCAATATTGAATGGGTAAACTCACCTCGCGTATACGAAGACAGTTTCGTTTATTATCCTAAATGTCGTACTCCCGTGAAGGAATGTCAAACCCTTCCGAGCATTTGACAAGATTGCAAACGCGTTTTTCGCGGACATGACATCATTTAATCGAAGAATTGGCGTACCCGGCAACAGCATCGTCATTAACGTGATGCTGTCGGCAACATTACCAGGCATACGATCCCTCAAAGAATGCTGTTTACCATTGAGCTATAATTACAAAACCATGCTTTTAATAATGGTTATAAGCTCTAATATTTTAAAATGAATGGAAAATGTTTTTCCACAATATCTCAACGAAATTACATAGTAAAACTAATTTTGCCAAGGATACTCACATTCCATGCAGGCCATTGCGCAATGTTGACCCACTGTGATATACTTTTACGCAATACAGTTGCATTAATGCTCGCGTTGGCAGTGGTAAGAAAATGCGAACTTTGTGGTAAGTCAATTACTGTCTTTTTCTCATTGTAAACTTGCAAGATATCTGCACTAATATCGTCTTGCAACGCGAATAATCTACCATATAAATATAACATTGTAATTAGGTGAGATGACATGTGTAATCACAAAGTGACAATGTAAAAGCAAACATACCCTTTATCATCAGTCTCGTTACGAACTATTTCTTGCCATTTTGTTAATATCGCAGCGTTCTCCGGACGATCGCGCGTATAAACGTGTACCAGCGATTGATAATTATTCGCTTCTACAGGAAGAAGGCTCCTAGACTCATCACGAAGTTGTGGATCTTCTGTTAAGAACGATGTATTTGCTAAGCGAAAGCCGCTAATTCCCAATTTCAGCCAATGAATTAAGATATCCTTGAATAATACATAAAATATATGTCAAAGTAAAGTTAAATGTATCAGTTAATAAAGAGTAATAAACTTACTCCAAATTCTTTCACTACTGCTGGATTGCTGTAATTCAAGTCTGGTTGCGACTTATTGAATTGATGAAGATAATATTGTCCTCTTTGTTCATTCCATTCCCATGCAGAATCACCATATACACTCAGCTATAAAGTATATTTGTTTAAGTATATTAAACGCAAGATTTTTTTTTTAACTATTGTACAAAATTTTATGCAAGCATGACTAACCCAGTTATTTGGAGGACTTCGCCTTTCTTTTCCATTATCAGATTTAGTTATTCCATCAGCCCATACATAATAGGATGTAAACGGATCCTGCTTCTCTACAGATTGTTTGAACCATGGATGCTCTACAGAAGAATGGTTGGGATCCAACTCCAAAAAGACTTGTTGATCTTTTTCTGTTGCAGCTTTGATAAGATTTTCTAAGTCGCTAACATTTCCTAATTTCGATTTGATGGTTTTGAAATCTTCGGTTGCTCCTATAATATAAATGATACATTTTTTTTTATTAATACATATTTTAGAATATATGTATTTATAAGATACAATCAAGAATTTTGCACAAAGCAAATAAAATATCCTATATATTTTTTGAAAATTTATACATACCATTTACATCTTCCTTCACTATTGATGAGAGAGAGATTGCTTTGATGTGTTGATCTTTCAAGTCGTTTAATACAGATTCCAGCCCATTCAAATCATTACTAGGAGAATCTGAGATATCCAACTGAATAATTGGACTTTCTTCCCAGACTTTTTTCGGCTCAGGTGCTGAACATTTTGGTGCCATCACAATGATAGCTATAGCACCGGCCAACATGCCTGCCCACAATAGCCAAAAAAAGATGAATAAGGCCCATCTTAATCTCACCCAGAATGGATCATTGACAAATTTCATCAACTCTTCTTTGCTCATTCCTGCGAACGCGTTTTTAGTCGGCTCAATATCGATCTTGACATCGCCATTTTCAGAGATAAATTTCACCTGTTAGAAGAACCACAAAACAATTTAAGAATAAAAATCAAAGAAGCTCAAACAAAGTAGTACAGAATAACTAATTGTTTCAAAATATGTCTAACAAAAGTCTAAACATATGTCTAACTTGTAAGCTAATAAAATACATATTATTGCTATAAATGCTTGTATAAAAATTATTTATATTCTTTATACATTCTCAGTATTTATTCTTAAAAGATACATATTGTATGATCATGCAGATATAAAACTAAATTAATTTGTAGGATTATAATCTAGTTATTAATGAAAATTAAGAAAAATTGAATATTTAAATATTGCAAGTGAGTTTCAAACATTAAGGATTCACCGAATATATTAGAATAAGAGTTAATATATTTAAAATAAATTATAATCTCTTTGCATGATGCAACTTCTGTGAAAATTTACATATCTTTTGAAGCATAATTAGTTTGTTTCTTTTTTTTTGTTTATTTATAGCTTTGTGTGACAGTGCATCTCGCATGTATCAACAAATTCAAAGAAATTACAAATTGTGCATTAAGTATAATCTTGTACTATTGAATCTGGCAATAGTGAAACAAAGACAGATTGTGAGAATAAGCGCAGGAACGATCGATTACTCGTACAATGGCGAGGATAGGCGTGTCCATTATCAAAGATATTGTAAGCATATTCAACATTAAGATAAACATACAAGTATTTCTAACAAACAATTTCAGAAGTAGGTCATATATTTATTTTTAGCTATCTCAAAGTGCTTGAAAAAAATCTACAAAAATTTATATATGCCTCGACATCTCTTTGTAGAAAATAATCATGTATAAAAAAAGTTAAAAAATAAATTTTTTACATATTTTTTTATTGATTACTCACGCGGGATATTCTATTGTTAAAATATTGATAGTATCAAAATGACCCATATGTGATCTTTAAAGAATTAAATTTGCATATCATCATGATGCTTATTCCCTCTCCAACGCCCACGATTTCGCGAAGCGAGATCTCTCGCGAGATGAAAAGAAAGATCTTCATTTATACCTCGACGTTATCTTTCTCGGTGATCTTCGCGGTGCTATCGTCCCCCTGGAGCATTCGCTCCTGCGCATCCTCGTCCAGATCCTCGCCGTTCTGCTTGCCCATGGCGATGTGCTGCCCCTCGTCGCGAGACACCTCCGACTTGGACGTGTTAACAACTGAGGATGATGTTTCCTTCACATCGCCGTTCACCTCACCGTTATCTCTCCCACTCTCCATATCGCGCGAATCACGACGATTAAGGATGCGTTTATCTGCACTTCCGGTCAACTATCTCGCGAAGAGCTTATGCAATATACGCACGGCGTATATATATATATATATATATATATATATAATATATTTATCGTGCTAGAAGATCTGCAAACTGCAAACGCGGCAAACGCGATAACGCGCGAATAATGGCAGCTGCTCCAAGCTCCAAGAACCGTTGGAGCGGGACGCGGTGCGGGAATTCGGGGAAACGCGCACGGGGAAACGCGTCGATAGGTCGGCAAGATATTAGGACGGTTATTTCGATAAGAGATCAAATCAACTGCGTGAAGTATGCGAGCTTGCCGATAAACGAAATTTCGAAAAACATTTACAAATAATATTTTTAAATTAATATATAATATATTAATAAAATAAATAAATAAATAAATCTTTTTTTTACGGATATTATATATTATTATATGTATATAAGCCAGCACTAATGTTATATAATATGTCTATGTGTAATAAAATATTTTATACTTTTAATTATTTTGTTTTATTTGTTTTATTTCATTTTAATATTTTTTTCTTAATATAATTTTCTTCCGTATTACAATACAAATTTTAATCCAAAATTATTGGGACAAATTTTTTATTATCGATTTTTCTTTCTAATAATCCCGTCTTTTTTGGATCGCATATATAGTATTTATGTAATCTATCAGCATCTGACAGAAAACTGTGACCAATTGAAACTCGAAATTATGACTTCTATAGATGACATATAGGATATAATATAGACCGGTCCCTGCCGTCAGAACAGCGTGAAAACATATGAAGAGCAGCAACTTCTTTAGGGCCTCAGCATAATAAAAGGAATAAAGAACAGGGAATAGAGAACAGAGAACAACCGCAGTGGAGGGAATGCGCACACAAGTGTTGTGCGCGCATTCCTTCCAATGCAGTTGTTCTCTGTTCTCTATTCCCTGTTCCTTATTTCTTTTAAGGTGCCTTTACATGGCAGCGTTAGGGTGCCATTACATGGAGCGCGGAAACGCGGATTAGCGTAACGCGGAACGAGAATGGAACCAATATGTTTGTGAAATTATTAAAATTATTTTATATAACGGGACCGAAAGATTGCAAAAACGTTGCATAGACCTCACATTGAAACATTGTAATATTGCATGGAAGTTGCGAAATGTTTCTACAATGTAACTGCAAGCCTGCGGTAACGTTGAAATGTCCGCCTTTAGAAATATTACAATATAAGACTATAATAATATTACAGTGCAATGTATTTGTAATATTGATATGCGTTGCTACAAATATGCAAAACGCTTCAAATTTAATAGATAAACTTTGAGAATATATAAAGACATCCAAGAGAGATAAGAAAAAAAGATTGTGAATTTACGCAATTACAACGAGTTTCTTCTCGTCTCTGCTATTTTATAAATAATTTACAAGTTTAAGAAATTGATAATGATTAAATAATTTAGATATTTACTCTATTTTACATCTTAAATATACAATAAACAGATAACTTTAACTTTTTCGGACATTTATTTGTCCGATTTCTGAATAATCAGTTCAATATCTGAATTCCTTGTGTTGGAATCGTATCAGACAAATTAAACTGATAAAAATAGTTATTAAACCTTTAATCTTACTAGCCGCTCTTTGCAAGCTTTATATAATCATCATGACTAAAACTTAAATTCGGGAGAGATAACGCAACGCGCGCTGCATGGCGGTAAACGAATGAACTAGCAATTACTGTTTTTTGTAATGTTTGTGGAATGTTGCTGTAACATTCTCATGAAATATTACAATTACATGTTGCAATAATGTCTCAACTATATTACATTGCAACTTGTAAGATTGTAATATTACTGTAATGTAATTGCAATGTTCTGTGCTGTATGGGTATTGGGTTGAACGGAAAGTTCGTTCCGTTTTTTATTAATAGATGAAGACCGAAAAAACGGCACGAACTTTCTGTTCAATCCAGAAAATAATTGTTTTTAAGAAAAAGTATGTAATTATTTATAATGTATTTTTTTAACATTTATTTGTTTTTTTTCTTTACACTTATTGATTTGTCTCATTATACTGTACATAAAAGTATTACGGTAAGATTATCGAAAACTAAATATTTTACGAGATAGTTCCATTTAAAAAATTGAAGGTGACCTTCACGTGTCCTTATAACGATGCCATCCAAGGTCAAACCAATGACACCATCTTATGTTCTCCTCAAAACCATACAATTTTTGTTCAAAACGTTTTTCTCTAAAATGCTTAGTTTTTGAAAGAAAAGGGGTATACGAGCGGTCTAGGACACCCTGTATATATGTATATATACAGGGTATTTCAGAAATAGGTGGCCAAACTTTAAGAGCATATTCTACTCACTATGAAAAAAGTCATATAAACATGAATCCGGAAACGCTTTCTTTCCAAATTATAAACATTTTTTATTTACATTGGACAACACACCTCGCATCGACGTTTCATGAATTGTCCTATATTCACCTTCTATTAGAACTAACTAAGAAATTATTAGATGGGTCTATAAGTCTGTATGGAATTGGAATCAGTCTTTATTTAAGCATTTAAGAGTGAAGTTGTTAAACATTTTTTCCTTATGTTATTTTTTTTATTATTTTTATTTTTAAGAATATTATTTATTATTATTTTAATAATGTTATTTTGGTTAATACTATAAATGAAAATGTATCATAGCTAATCATACAGCTATTAAAAAAATTAAAAACAAGTAGATAAGTATATAAATATAAATCTCTCTCTCTCTCTCTCTTTCTCTCTCTCTCTCTCTATAATAGAAATCTATTTAGAATTGGATTTCATTAATAGATCATGTATATTATACCAAAAGTTGTAATATATGTATAGTAAACTGGTATCATCTCATCGTCAGTTCATTAGCTTTGTTTTTGATTGACAGTAAATCGGAGCGCAACTGCATGCTGTGCATAGAAGGAATTATTCTCGTCGTAAACATTATGCGTGCAGTGCTATTATGAAATTCTTGTTGTAATACGAAACGACAGATGATGGGAGCTGCAGAAATATCAGACAAGATTGATAAAGCTTTGACGATAGATACTCAATTAAATTGGTTATTTGTTTTGAAGCATATGATACATTACCTTTATATAATATATAAATTGTTTGCACATTAAAACAAGATTACAGAATTATTTTATACGGAAAAGTGCTGTTGCATATATCTTAGTAAGTAAAGAAAGTATAGAAGCAATAGAAAAAAATTTGTTTTGTTCTTAGCGTCAATGTTTAAATGTTTGAACATTTCGAGCTGTTCAAGCCTTTTAATATATCAATTCTAACATATTAATAAGGTTTAAAAAGTGCAATTTTGACGTGGATGACAAAGAACGCATTGAAAGACTTAAAAAAAGAAATTTAGGAAGTTTTAAGTTTTTGATGCGAAAATCAGTCTTGCTCAAAACTTCGCAAATAGTTAAAAAACTTAAATAGATGACCATTGTTCGACACATCATTATGATAAGAGAAAAATACAAATATATATAAAAGTATTATATAATATATAAAATATAAATAAAGAAAAAAGTATAAAACTTTTGTATTAATCATAAATATTAATATATGCTTGGATATTTACTTCTGTCTCACTATAAATCAAAAATTCGTCGATTAACATCGATTGAAAAATGATTCGAAGTACGTCACTTGATTCATTTTCGAGATGATCGGTTTGCAACGATAGCCCAAGCACATTTCTCCACAGTCTCATAAGATAGGAATCCATCTTAACGGTGTACTTGATATTGTGCTATTGCTTTATTTGTGACGTAACCAACCCATCAGCATCGTTATTATCCTTCATCCATCTTATACCCTCCCTCAATCTATCTTTTCATATGTGCCTCTTATGTGCTGGTTCGATATCTAAAAGATCGACACATTTTATGAATCAAAAGTATCATCACACGATTTTGAGCTACATCGTTTTTCTAAAAAATACTGTGGCATTTTCCAACCAGTTTTTAGCCTAAACAAAGAGATGCTTACTTTTATCGATTAAATGAAAAAAAAAAAACGATTAAATTTGCAAAGAGAGGGAGAGAGAGAGAGAGAGTATAATCTTACTCAATCCCAACATTATATTAAAAAGGAACATGAGTGATATCGTTCCATATGTCGTTGTATATCTCCACAAACGGCAAAAAAATGCAGTCAGACTTTTGATGAGCGGGTCGAGGATAGACGAGGTTTTCGGAGAATGAGAAGTACCATTTCCGGTTACTGCCGGCTCTTTATAGTGAATTCGTGAGTGTCGACTGTGCGCAGTAATAACGTCCTTTGTCGCATAACCGAGCGGTTTACAGCGATTCGCTGCTTCGTTGTTTCTGTCCGGATCGTAATTCGCAAACGGGGCCCAGAGTATGCAATTACACAAATCACGCGTTCGAGTTTGTTCCGCGCAAAGGAACAATGTCGACGGTAACGAAGTGCTCGTTTAATCCTGCACTAATGCAACGCGTCTTACGTTGTTTGCACACCGCAGGATCACATAGGTATAGCAGGATATGGCAATGTGACGACCGCAAGTATTGACGCAGTGGTCTCGTCGAGAGTGCATAGAATTGTGCACAAGGCAAAATATACCTCATTTATTGTCTTCATAAATTGAAAAATACTTAAAATTATATTCCATGATATGTTAATAGAGTATGATCGGTATCGAAAATAATATATCATGTTGTGTTATATATGATATATATCATAATTAAATTGTGCTACATACTGCGTGCCTTAAGTTCTCTAGTTAATTGGTCGAATCCGCAATATCGGAGTAACTAGTATGCTTGCAGATAATAGGATATCCTAGACAGTGGATGTGTGACGAGGATTAAGATCGGATCTTGAAATGACATGTGCAGATTAAAACATTATTAAAAGGTCCACAATGGCAATCGGATAGGTTAAACCCATAATATAGCGTGATGTAAATGAAAAGCACATGTGTATGTGGAAGTTCCAACTATTAATACTTTAAACTTGTTAGCGATATGATATATCGTACAAGCGCTTTATCCTTTGAGATAAGACATTAAATTGAT